ACAGCTGATTGGCGGTTCCAAAATGGCTGCCGGATGAAGAAAATGGCCACCCACAGCGTTTTCGCACCAATTCCTCGCTTATCCTACGGAGGATTCCCGCTTAGCGGTGAGTTTACCCCCCATAGGAACGCATTAAACTCCATTCCTATGGGGTTTTCCGTTCAGTTTAGCAATGTTTCCGGATAGCGACATTTTTCCTGGAACGGATTAACGTCACTATGCGGGGCACTACTGTATTTTATGTCAAGCTTATTTTATATCACAACACTGTTCAGAGTTATTATTTTAAAGATTGTAATATACAAGTGAATATTTTATTTCATCTGTTTAAAATGTTAGGATACTTCACCTAAGATGTCCATTATTTATATTTTAGCAACATATGTATAATATGCAAATGATTTGAGAGGACTGGAATCATTATGCCAGAAAAGTAGGAAACTTCTAGACTTTTTATTCACTAGAAGAGTAACTGAAGTTCTGGCTGCCTGTTGCCCGGTCCTCCTAAATGCTCCTCCTTATAATAGCAACAAGCTCATTACTGCTGACAGACTTCATGTTTGTGGAACATACTTTGTTTTTTTTACTAGAAACAACAACCAGAGTTTTATGCAAATTGTATACACTTAAGTAAAGAATCTTAAGCTAAGAATGTACTTGATGTGACAGGAATGAATGACCCTTCCATGCAAAAATCCAGTCCTGGTTAATTCTCCTTTTATTCAGGTTAATTATCCTGGTTAATTCTCACTTTTATTCAGCAGTACAGTTTGCAGGGGTGTCAGTTTTGTTGCTGCCATTCTTAAACACTGCATCAGATAGCTCGACAAGAAATCCATTTACTGAAGTAATCTTTAACAAATACCTATTAGCTATACCTTACTAAGACATTTTAACTTAAAGAATTACATTCTCTCTCTCTCTCTCTCTGTCTCTGTCTCTGTCTCTCTCGTGTTCGTAATAATTATACAGTTATAGAAATTTACCTTCTGGTGGCACATCATTAAGATATGGGGGAACATCCTGTTCATTTTTGTCTGTTTGATTCATTATTGCCTAAAAGGAAAAAGAAAATATCTCATATATTATACAGTCCCATATGCAATTAGCTTGCTTACTGCCAGAATGTTTGTGCTATCACCATTTTGTTGAATGGTCAATATTAATAATACAGTTATAATTTTCAGTATTTTCTGTATTTAATTTCCCTCAGGCATCACTGTCTGCACTCCAGTTCAGTTCAGTACAATCCAGTACATTCTCTACCCTATGTACTGAATATATACCTATACCTATTCAGGAAAAAAGAAAATGTAGCACCTTAAAAACTGTTATATTTCAGTGTGAACTTCTGCAGATTCATCCAACTTCTTCAGACACACTAGGTTATAAACCACAGGTTATAAACCACACATCACAAAATATTAAGCAGGGTAATCCTTTAATGTGTCACACATTTTTGTTTTCTTTCTTTTTGCGGGGTAGGGGTCTTAATATGCTTGCACAGACTAACACAGCACTTCCATAAATATATACCCAAGATACTACATAACATTTCATGAATCTGATAAAGTGGTCTATAGTCCATAAAAGTCTATGCTACAATCACTTCATGAAGGGAGAATCCTGTTTGATTTTGGTGTTCACAAAACCAGTCACTGTGCAAATAGAAAGATATATATAACAAGTTATCTAGCATATCTTTGTGCAAGTGGAATCCCCCTTTTCATTAATAGGTCAGCTGCACAGTCTCCACTCGGACAAATTAAGGCTAAGCAAATCTCCTGCCAGGAAGTGTTCCACTCTGCCGATAGTCAACAGGATATTATTGCCTTTGGTGATTAAGATACCAAAGAGTTCTTGTTTTCACAAAGGCATACACTTTTAAAGAAGCCCATTTTTCACCTGCACCCCATTGGGAAAAAACAATTCAACTGAATCCTAATATTTGCTGAATTAGCCAATGATGCTGGTGTGTAACAAATGGCATGCCCATGCAAAAAAAATCACAAAATATTATTTAACAAACTGATGTACCAGCCAATAATGCTACTTTCTCTGTTAAGTACAAACATGCTATTTTCAATTTGTCAAGATACAAGATTTAATAAAAAAGGGGGGGCAGCAAACAAAATATCATTAAACTGAATGAAAGTACCCTGTTTCCCAAAAATAAGACAGGGTCTTATATTACTTTTTGCTCCAAAAACGCATTAGGACTTATTTTCAGGGGATGTTTTATTTTTTCATGTTCAACCATCTACATTTATTCAAATACAGTCATGTCATGTACTGGTTGCTGCACAATGGTGGAGGGCAGGGTTTCACTTAACTACGGCTTATTTTTGTAGTACAAGCATCGTGAAATATACTAGGGCTTATTTTCAGGTTCGATCTTATTTTAGGGGAAACAGGGTATAACACATGGATTTAGAGACAAAGACAATTTTTCCTTATATTATTGTAACAAATGTTACAATAATATAAGGTATTATTGTATACCTTTTATTATTTTGAAATGTGTACCACAGTTGTGAAATGTGTACCACTAGCCACTCTAACATGCTTATAAATACAATATTTAAAATTAGTATGACAAACTCATCATTAAGAGTAACAATCCATCAATCAAAGGAACACATTTCATGCTATCCAACATTTTAATGACTATATGTTGTCCTAATGTGATTTAATACATTTATTATCTCAGGCTGACTTACTTGTGCCATGGTTCTAAGGCAGCTGAATACAACATCTGTTGAAGTCAGTGGGTTTTGCTTTTAACTACTGTATATAAGGCAGTGTCAAAAGCTTGAAACCACATACACACATACCTCACCAACTCACCATGTGGAAGCATTACAAGCAAAGTTGTATTCACATCTCATTCACAACTCTGATATAACAGATTTAGTTCATGAGGGACACACCAACTTGCTGACATGTTCTGTTTTTTAATTAGAACAATCAAGATCATGTGGAATTTTGCCAAGAGATCTGATAGATTCCATTTAGAACAACCACATATTTCCTACAGAGTTGGCTAGTTACAGCATTGATCTCCACTTTGCCTTAGCCTGGCATAGTATCAAATTGCTTTCTGAAGGTGCCATTTTAGAAGAACAAAATGTATACTTTCAAGATGGCACAAATTAACAGATGCTTAAAGCTGATTTTTTAACCCTCTACTATCCAACACCCTTCAGACTTTTGCTTTAAGTAAACATTTCCTCATGACATTATTGACCAACAAACTAACATTGATCATGGTTTCACCAGCATGTGGAGATATTGTAGAATATGTATCTACTTCTAAGCATTAAGACGTTTGAGCATCACAGTGTTTGTTTTTAGCACTGCTGATTACCTGCAACCCACAGCTTCTGTCATTTAAGCAGAGTTTGAATGCTACCTGTTTCAGGTTTTAAAAAGAAATATATGCACATTAAATGTATATTTAAAAACTGAATTCAGTCACATATTGAAATAAAGTAGCTAACATACAGACTGCCACTGATATCTTTCAAGAAATATTCTACAGTATTATAGAATTAAACAAACATCACACATGAACTACATACCTTTTTAATGCTCTGCTATATGTCTTCAAAGTGCCAAGATCAAGTTCTCTTCTCCTTTTTCTTATAATTAAATGGCAACATCTACATTAATAAATGAATTGTTACATTTCAAAGGGAACAAACATTACCTCACTCTAACAGATACAAGCATTACCTCAGCCTAACAGATATTGTACCTTGTACAATAGCAATACAGGTCTAAGACATTTCTGCAAGAAAAAACAGCTGACCCCATTCAAGAAACATGATGTATACGTAATTGAGACAATGTGTTTCCTAGAGAAGCAGTGGTTCATTCACTATTTTAACATGCATGTTTAAAAGATGAGATTCCTTCTCTCTGGGGACCATTCAATGTCTTTATAAAAAGACAAACGCAAGAACAGGCAATACCTTTATAGGTCACTAATTAAAAAATTTATTTATTTATTTATTTATTGGACTTATATACCACCCCATAGCGCTACAAGCACTCTCCGGGCGGTTTACAATTTTAATTATACAGGCTACACATTGCCCCCCCCCCCAGCAAGCTGGGTACTCATTTTACCGACCTCGGAAGGATGGAAGGCTGAGTCAACCTTGAGCCGGCTACCTGGGATTTGAACCCCAGGTCGTGAGCACAGTTTTAGCTGCAGTACAGCGTTTTAACCACTGCGCCATTTATATGCCTTGGTCCTGTCTTGGGCCCTGCTCTTTATTTCCAATTCCGAGTCCTTTTGGGGAAAGGGGTGGCATGGCAGAGCCTGGGAGCCTTCCATGCCATGCAAGAAGAAGGGGAGCATGGGTTGCAGAACCCACACACACACACACAAACAGAGGCAGACACAGAGGGCCCCCCCAGCCTGACAAGGGGTGCTTCTCTCCCTCTCCCCTCCCCACCCGCCTGGACTCCTTTCCTCCAGAGATGGGTCGTATCCTGACCAGGTCCCCGTCTCCCTGCACCCTGGGGTCCCCTCACCCCTCACCCCCCTTCTCCACAGCCCCCCCTCCAAGGGGCGGGACTGCCTTCCCGGCTGCGAGCTTTCATGGGTAAATCCCACTTCTTCAAAGCAAGTACCAAAAGTCCAAACATTCATGGCAAGATGGGACTTGCCAGGAGGCTAAGAGACATCCAACTATTTTTCCTAGATAATTAACATGAATATGTGTTTATCCTTGTTATTACTATGCAGTTTCCATGTATATACTCATTTTTAGCTGCTGCATGTATGTTTCTAACACTGAACATTCCTGTATAAAAAGCTGTATGATCCCTACCTATATATCACTATATGCAGCAAATGTGCATGCACCTATTTAGCCAAGATAGCCTGACATCTATTGGGTCTTCTCATCCTATACAAAATACCTTTGTATTCCTCAGAAATGACACTGTAAATGCTGAGTGAGTGGAACTTCTTAACATAAAGCAGTACCCTATACTATAGGATTCAATAAACAAAGCCACAGCCTTGAGTTTGCAAAAGCAGAGCACAGCAGCTGTTAAAAATCACTCATTCATAGGGTTGCCATGAGTGTGAGACAACATGACAGGACACAACGCAGGATGGGAAAGGGCAACCTGTGGCTCTCCAGATGATGTTGAACTACAACTCCTTAACAGCCCTATCCAGCATAGCCAACTGTCATGGGAAATACTCATGTTTTCTGAATGGAATTACCATAATATAAAGGTATTATTTCTTCATGAATCTGCCAGTTAGTGCAGTCATGAACAAAACAGTGAATACAGCCCAATGACTAAGCATCTTGGGCTATGACCCAGATGATCCTTGGTTCAAGTCTTGTCTCTGCCACAGAATAAGTGACATGAGAGAAGTTAGCCTAAGATAATGCCAAGTGCTCAGATCACTTAGAAAGCATCATATAAATGCCAAATATTGTTACTATTTTAAAACAGCCAAAGATTTTTTAATGGCTTTATTGGTGTCCAGCACTTGCACGGAAATACTTTTCTTCACATTGGCAAATGAGCTGAATACCATGCCATGCAACAGCATGTGCTATTTTTATCAATTCCGTAACTGGGCTATTCTGAATTAATTGCTTATTGCTCTTTTGCAAACTATCCCTCTGCTGATATCAATCTGACCACAAATAAAGATCATATTCTATATGGCATTGCCCACAACATTTCTCCATGCAGACTGTTTTCATATTTATAAGCAAAACTCCACTAAGAGCCTAGAAGGGAGAAACTTAAAGCCACTAGAGTAGGCCAATTTGAATCTATGGAGCTTACAATGGAGTTGACTCACCAAATCACCACTGACTCAGTGGGCCTGCAGTAGTGCAACATATTATGCTAAACAATAGGATTTCAGCCTATGTCAGGTCAAACTCTACCAACATTCAAAGTGGCCTAATGCTCTTAACAAGCCCTCTCTGCTGCTGCCTTCCTCTCCAAAAACAACATTGGCCTCCACCATTTTATAATGTTGGCACAGCAGCTTCTCAATTATGTATTAATGATCTCAGCACCTCTCAGAACCATACTTTTGTCTGGCTCCAGGTACTCAGAACAGTGCTGCAGCAATGTTCTAGGCAGGGCACGTGCATCTCTACACACTGCCAGTGTCGTACAGATTTTGTGACACAGGAAATGGGTTAGGTAGTCAAGAGTGCAATCAACAAAACTGTAGAGAAAAATCCAGACATTTAAAAAGAATTTATTTCTAGATAAGTGGGTGGGTAGGTAAGGACACATTGTTTTAGATAATTCGATGCCAAAATGAACTGGGGATGGCAGAACTGGGGATAGTTTCAGCCTATCTTGCTGCGCTAACAGAGTCAGTTTCTTTGCAATAATTTGTGCTTATGGGAATATTCTCTGCTAGCTAAAGAAACAGTCATACTGTATCAGGACAGTTTTTAGAACAGGAAAAGCAATTGGCTCCTCTCAATATTCCTCTGCAAAGGCAGGTGACTTTCATCATTGGCAAAGACTCCCTTTTGCCTTGTCCTCCTCTTCTTCCATGTCTGATATTCTCCATTTTCATATGCCAAACAATCAAATAATATAAACATAATTTATATATGGAAATTAATACTTACTAAATGTTACTTCATTTGGAATTCCCACTGTGATTTTCTACAGAAAACCTAAGAAAGTAACATGCTATTAATATTTATACACAAGTTTCTCAAAATACCACTATGAATTACACATGTGAACTGCAACACCCCCCACAAAGAAATATAAGTAAAATATATTTATGCAGTTCATAAAGAATCAGAATTAACACAATGCTTTGAACACATAAGAACTTCTGTTTAACTACCACTTAAAAACTTCTTGCTTTGATGAATAAGTACTAAACTCCAACTAAGAGGATATATATCAATCCAGACAAGTTTAACTTCACTTAATAACACGTTCTCACATGACAGGCCAACAATGTAAGATAAAGAGTAAATTTAGTTCTTGGTGTACTTTTGAAGCAAGGATGGAACAGGAGAAAAACTAAAGGGTTTGCAAGGGACAAAAGAAAAAGGCTCTTTTTAGAGTCAAGACTTTGCAGAACATAGCCACCTAGAGTGGCCTTACAGGCCAGATAGGCGGGGTATAAATCAAATAAATAAATAAATACTGAAGAATATCTCAGAAGATATTGCTGAAACCATATGAAGCGAAGGGTCCCCACATCCATCTCTTGGAAGAGAGGTTTCCATTTTTGTTTTAGAATAGAGATGGTCCAGGTATAATCTATTCTTAAGGCAGAGATACGGGAGCCATACAAGCTAATCTCCACATAAGCAGCTAGACTCTTAAAAAAGGTTGGTCAGACATCATCAGTAATAGTTTTTAAGTATGAAGCATATACTTTCGGTAACAGCAATACTTAATACACATTTACATACCACATACAAAAGCAAACCAACATGCAAAGTACACCTTCAGAACAAAAAATTACTACAATTCTGCATAAATATTCTCAATAATTTGTTTTAATGTCACAAATACTGTAATAATGACCCAACCACCCACTACAGCTGGGGGTGGGGGGGAGGGAGAGGAAACAGCCTGAAAACAAAGTCACAGTAGGTCTATATGCAGAGACTTGGAGAATCAGCTACTTCTACTACATAGAGCTCTAGATAGGAATCCTGCAAACACAAAGAAAGAGTCCATGGATGGATCTCAGCAGTGACGTGGCAGGGATGTAACCTAGAGGCACCAAATGCTGTTGACGTGCCTGCCTGGGCTTTTCCCCCCAACCTCCTCGAAGAATGCGCCCACGTCTTAACATAAATGCCTGTTGCCACCGGACCTTCCTACGTATCTCCTGCCAAGAAAATACTGTACTGGCGACATCCAGCACGGTCTTCAACACCTCCCTCCCTCCCATCCACCTTCAATGACAGGTTTCCATGCCATCTGCACTCGGAATTTCTAGCTTGCTTTTAAGGAGTGAATAAAGTGCGAGAGAAAGGGCTTGCAGACATCGCCTCCCTTCTCGTCCCCGGAGGTTTGCTATTACCAAGCTTTTAACAGCCCTGCAGAAAACAGGTTCTCAAGGGAAGGATGGTGGATATTTACGTCATGAACGTCAACCCCTAACGACGTTTACTGGGACGTTTGGCTTTAAAGGCTCGGTTCTCGTGGCAGATTTGAACCATTTTAGATTTTATCTCCACGGCTTTAATCCTCTGCACGCTTACCCGGGAGTGAAGCCCTAAGGAGCAGTGACGGACTTAATTCGGAGAAAAACACGTACAGGGTTGCTCTGAAAACCGTTTCGAAGGCAGGAAAGAAGTGCAACAGCTCCTCCTAGGCAAACCTATACTCATATATATTTTTTTAAAGCAAGTCACTCCCTCTCCATCCCCCAACCTCTGTTTCCCTTCATACCCCCCTAAAAAAAATTATAAACAGAAACAGAAAAACAGGCGGGAAGGGGTATGTGTCTCCTCATGCAAAACGGAGTTCCTCAGGTAAATTTAGAAGGGAAAAGGCGCCCTCCAGTCAGTCACGGCCGCCCTTCCTAAGCCGACTTCTGGAGGTGCCCCCTCCTCATAACTGAGGCTCGCCTCTTCTTCTCCTGCTCCCCCCTCTCCCTAGGCAGGCAAGAGAACCCCCCCCAACTCCAATAAATTGGGGGGTCGAACTGGAGCGGTCTCCCTGCTCCCACCCACCCCTCTTGCCTTCCTCCGCGGAGGCCAGGGGGTGGGGAAGATGCACGAGTCCACCCTCCCGCCTCCCTCCCTCCCTGCAAAGCGGGCAGCGAACAGGCCGCGTTTCACGCTCACCTTCACGGCCCACTCGTCCGGCCGCTCGGGTCAGTCTGGCTGACGGCTTCGGAAGGAAGGCGCCTCCGGGATCCCGAAGCAAACGCCGAGCCCCTCTCCCTGCCTCGTTGCTGCGGCGGCGGCTGTTTCTTCGGTGCCTGCCGACGTGGCGCCCTACGCACCTCGCCCTGTCCCCGCCCGAAGAGCCCGCCTCAGGCCGGCCCCCAGCGCCCCCGCCGCTCGGAGGGGCGCGCAGGCGCTTCGTTCTAGGCCTAAGCGTGTCTGTGGGTCGGGCCGCTTCGAGTTTTCCCCTCAGGCTTCCCCCAACTACCGAGGAGACAAGTGAAGGGAAAGGATGGATGAAGTTGTCAGCGTCGGTATAGAAAAGAATTCTCCGTGAGCAATTCTGCACACGCATACCCACTACCTTGCCGTCTTTTCCCTTCCCTCCATCAGTAGCTGAAAAGACTGCTAGAGGTGTGGGTACAAAATACATTAATTATCTCTGAATAAACAAATTAGTCCTTCAAGTGCCGCAGCACTTTCATTTTTAGTTTTAGGTTTGCTGCACGTATTTTCTAGGAACAGTGTGCGTACAGTACTGTATTGCCAACTTCTCAACTAGGTTACCAACAGTTACCTCCTTCTCAACCAGGGTTCCCATGTCTTTCAAATACAGTATACATGAGCAGTGCAAAGTCTAGAGACAAACATGTTCCCTGTGAAGAACCTACGCCAGGGAAACCAGTGTGTTGTGAGTTTGTGCTAGCGATTACAAAATGCGCCAACAAGGCAGCCTTTGCAGGGAAAAATTGCAACAATATCAAGGTTGTTGGCAAGTCTTTAGGTTTGAGTCCCAAGTCTGAGTCTGGTTTGTTGTTTAGTAGTTAAGTCGTGTCCGAATCTTTGTGCCCCCATGGACCAGAGCATGCCAGTCCCTTTTGTCTTCCACTGTCTCCCGGAGTTTGGTCCAATTCATGTTGGTAGCTTTGATGACACTGTCCAACCATCTCGTCCTCTGTAGTCCCCTTCTCTTGCCTTCACACTTACCCAACATCGGGCTTTTCCAGGGAAAAACCCTAGCTTTGACTATGCAGACCTTTGTCGGCATGGTGATGTCTCTGCTTTTTAAGATGCTGTCCAGGTTTGTCATTGCTTTCCTCCCAAGAAGCAGGCGTCTTTTAATTTCATAGCTGCTGTCACCATCTGCAGTGATCATGGAGTCCAAGAAAGTAAAATCTGTCACTGCCTCCATATCTTCCCCTTCTATTTGCCAGGACATGATGGGACCAGTGGCTGTGATCTTAGTTTTTTAATGCTGAGCTTCAGACCAATTTTTTGTGCTCTCCTCTTTCACCTTCATTAAGAGGTTCTTTAATTCCTTCTCACTTTCTGCCATCAGAGTGGTATCATCTGCACATCTGAGATTGATGCTATTTCTTCCAGCAATATTAATTCAGCTTGGGATTCATCCAGTCCAGCCTTTCACATGATGTACTCTGCATATAAGTTAAATAAGCAGGGGGACAGTATACAGCCTTGTCGTACTCCTTTCCCAGTTTTGAACCAATCAGTTCCATATCCAGTTCTAACTGTTGCTTCCAGTCCCACATATAGATTTCTTGGGAGATAGATAAGGGTGTCAGGCACTCCCATTTCTTTAAGGACTTGCCACAGTTTGCAGTAGTCCAAAGGTTTTTGTGTAGTCAATGAAGCAGAAGTAGATGTTTTTCTGGAACTCTCTGGAACTTTCTGGAACTCTATAATCCAGGTCATGTTAGCAATTTGGTCTAGAGTTCCTCTGCCCCTTCAAAATCCAGCTTGTACTTCTGGGAGTTCTCAGCCCACATATTGCTGAAGCCTACCTTGTAGGATTTTGAGCATAACCTTG